TACAGTGTATAATATGTACTAGACTTGGACAGGTGTATACGTACATGACACTGACAGATACAGTGTATAATATATACTTGACTAGGACAGGTGTATACATGTACGTATATGGCTCTAACAGGTACAGTGTATACTATGTACTTGACTAGGACAGGTATATACGTACATGACAATGACAGATACAGTGTATAATATATACTTGACTAGGACAGGTGTATACGTACGTGACACTGACAGATACAGTGTATAATATGTACTAGACTTGGACAGGTGTATACGTACATGACACTGACAGGTACAATGTATACTATGTACTGGACTTGGACAGGTGTATACGTACATGACATTAACAGGTACAGTATATAATAAGAACTTTTATTACATTTTTGCCAGTGAAATATCAGATTCTATCAACTTGATAAAACTGATATCTTTCACACTGTGACAAATATCATTTTGGTATTGACCAATCATAACGGTATATTCTATTCAGAGAGAACGATTTGTTTTGTTCAGATTCAAATGAAGCAGCAGTAGAATACGTGGTTGTTATGGTAAATGTTTGGGTACACACACTTAATTATTTACATAAATATACAATTTATAACATTTTTATAAGCAATCATACCAGAAAATAGCAGAAAACGTCGAAATTGCGTTGAGTTTCCCATTCAAAATGGCGCGCAGCCTTGTCAAGCGTGACGTCATTTAAATATGGCGCTATTTAATAATGCATTACATTTTTCATGTTTTAGCTATAAAAATGTAATAAATAGAAAATGTAATGGTGTCTTCAGTAATAACAAATATATTTTACTCGTGAAATATATTTTCTATTACTGAAGACACTATTGACTCGGACAGGTGTATACGTACATGACACTGACAGGTACCCGTACCATCCATGGTGTCGTTACATTCTCCGTGACCCGAGCATACCAGACCATGTCCCCCCGGGCATCCTGAAATGAAAATTTGTGTTTATATTTTTAGATATCTACAATGTTAGTAAGCTCCTTTTATAAGCGATTAGTTACATATACATGAAGCATAGGTATCTTTCAGTGTGTTATCGACCACACGAGGTTGGAGTGAACGGATACACTAAAAGGATTTCTCATAATGTATTGCCACAGACGGCGTTTGTTTTGATAACTTTATCGAGCAGGGTCTTATGTAGGAGGAAACCATTATCGTGGGTTTTCTCCGCGTACTTCAGTTTCCTCCAAAATTAAGACTCCCGCGCGTTAACATCCGGGCCAACAAGAGTGATACTATAAGTTGAAATAGCTTGCTTCATAACTGTTGTTCAATAATTAGTGCTTATAGTTTATAAACGTTAGAATATCATCAAATAGGCGTCGTTGTTTGTGACATTGACGCGCTCTCCTGATACTTTTGTCCAGCGCGTTCCACAAATGCTAGATTGGTGGGAAACTTTGGAGAACAAAAGCAATGGTTTAAGTAGGACATTCACGATATCTCATTGAAATACCTTCTTTTAACATAGATTATGCTGACAGATAAATGACATAGAGTTAGATAAAAGGTCAAGTTACAGAGAATAGCGAAGTTGGGGAATTTCGTTTTGTTGTTCAATAGCCGGCCGGATGTTATCGTGTAATTGATTGATGTCTTTCTTTCATGTCTCAGATTTTTTTATTGGAAATGTATATCTTCTAGATGTGCTTTAGTCAGTTTGACTAAACAGGTAGTGTTAATTGAGAACAACACAACGTTAAAAGGCTACGTTGATGTCTTTTGTTCTCTTGAATACCATAGGACGAAGTCAGTCATCGGAAAGATTACACTGTCATTAACTTAACAACTGCAACATGTTTTGTTTTCTTGTTACGATTTCTTAAAGCTTTTTTTTGTCTGTATGAGGGTTTTTTGTAGCTCTATTTATCGTTCCAACAGTTTTATACAAGTCTTAAACTGCTCCCTCTTATACACTTTTACTGTAGCAAAGACTAAGATCCGAAAAAATACATTTACAATTATTTTGTCTGTTACTGCAAAATCATCTCGCCATGGAGATTTTATCTCTAGACCTCGTGATAATACAGCAGGGAGGAGTCTTTTTTGCCTAAAATTTTGATTTGTTTATTTTTTATAACAATCAACGTTGGTGCTGTGAAACTATTCACAAAAAAAACCCAGAAGTTTATGCATCGATCATGATATGTGTAATATTGTGTTACATAGTGAAATCAAATAATCAATTTCATAAACAAAATATTTTGTTTTCTTATGTTTAAGTTTAATTGGGGGGGGGGGGGGTCATGTCAATGCCAGAGAGGCCTTATTACGGGGGATTTTGTGAACGAATTGTGAATGTATCCTGTTAAATTTAATTATTATATTATTCATGTTTAAACATATATTTACGATTATTCATGCTTAGCATCTTAAAGTTTTAAAGCCTACATATGGTTCCGGTTTAATATATATTGCAATAGCTAAGTTTTATGTATGGAGTTTGTATGGCCTGTTAAAGACTGATCTTAATCATGTAGGTCATTTAAAACTTCTTAAAATAAGTCAACCACGTGTGTCCTTGGTAACGACAATAATATCGGATATCACGTCACATGATTGTTTATTATAATTTAGTTACATACAACTGTATGTTACCTGTTACACATACAACTGTACATGTATGTAACCTGGTACAAGTAGGTACATTGTACACACGTACTTGAAATGTTAACTGTTAACAGGCTTCTCCGTACATTAGCAAGCAGGAGACATGGTTAGAGTTATGCTACCAATAAATATGGCGAATATTATAGCACTGTATAATTACAATAAAATAAGTCAGCTACGAATATAGAAAGATTTTTTTTGGAATGAGCTAGGTTCTCAACACTGCCCGGAACATAACTGGTGTATTCTAGAATTCTAGAATAATATCTTCCGTGAAGTGTTAATGCTGTCGTCACGATTCTTTCAATATTAACTTTTATCAGTCTTTGCTTGAGGAAAATCGCACAGGCACAAATAGTCAGTAGGGAAAAGTCAAAACTATGGCTAATATTATATAACATTGTAGTGTTGGGTCTGGTGTATCCGGACATTCAAGGAGAAATTAGTGTCAATGCTACATTTTGAGCGACGTCACTTTACATACATGTAGCTTGTAATATGCATTGTTAACGTAGGAAGTCATGTTCAGGCACCGTGTTTGCTCTCACCGGACGCGTTTGTTTGATTAAAGAATCATTAACTTTGAGTCATGTTCGACTTTATATTTTAAATTGCATTTATGATTAAGATGATACATTGTCTGTTCTATCACGTGGCGATGTAACGACACTTTTCATTGGTTAATACAAAAGTAACCATGGATTATTGGGCGATAGACCACGAACGTGTGTGTATCACAACAGACCAACGCTCATCTAAAACCCTCCCCCGCAAAATAATTAAAAATGAGGGTCCTCGTATCTATTTTTGTAGGTATTTGAAGAATTGCTAGCAGACAGACTTTAATCTATTTAATCTCTAGATTTACTGCGAAGGTGACTTGAAATAGTTAATCTGACAAATGTTGATTTCATGTACTGACGAGCGATGTCGTCAGATTGGTGGATTTGATTGATGAGTACGTTGAAAGAATAATCCACTCAGACCATGTTTATGTACTACTTTTAAAAGTTCAATTTTAATACCATATACAATGTATCTGTCGACATATTACATCCATATCATATTCAATTAGCAAGCCTCGAAAACAAGCATAGTCTATCATGTGAGAGTCTATACCCCTCAGTCCTATGTACAATGTATGTGGACTTCGGTGATACTTACTACTGAATCCGGGCTTTTTGTTATTAACGAATTATACTTGTTTTCCGTATACACGTTATATTCAGCTGGTTCTGGTTAATTTTCATTACTAAATATATAACGTATGCGACAGATGTGGAAGTGACAAGCTGTGTACCTCTTATTTTGATAACAATTACAGAAGCCAAAGTAAAGGCAATCAAACAAAGAAAAAATCTTGTACGGATTCCTGATTTATTGTACATAAATAAAAAATGTTGTCTTAACAGTACTGAAGCCAGGACCTGTACATGTGTCCGGATAGCGCCGATAGTCTAGCCATTCGACGATCCCGTATAACATTCCGTCTGTTATAGAACTGAGCGCATCCCACCTTTGGTAAGATAAAAGAGTTATCGGACCTGAACATGGTGATTGGACTATTCTAAGCTCCGTCAATTTGGGTGAGAAATCATTTTATTTGAACATTCTGTGCTTACTCAAATAAACATTTTCCCCCATCAGTGAATGATATTTGTATTAGATTTGGTTTATGACATAAAATAATGGAGCAGGACCTCGACAAATGTGTTTTACACGCCAATCCATTATCGGCATTACCGGACGTGAACTCAGTAATGGCGGCAACCGTGTTTGAATGGGAAACCAGTCCACTCCCACATAATGTGACGCTAAATAATGAAGACGCTTGTAGACACCTGCCCAGTCATAAGGTGAATGCGTCCGTCCAGATACATACTGAACTTACATCCCACCAGTGTTATTCCGGTTGTATGTGAACGAACGGATGATACCGTTACACATAAGACGTTCCCTCTGTTAATGACAATAGCTTACACGTCTCTGAAACATCTAGGAAACTAGTCAAGTCAGGTGAGATTGAAACGTCCGCCCAGAAACACGACGAACTAATGAAACTTGCGGTAAGGGAGCTTTCTAAATCGGCCGGAAGACCATTAGGAGCACTTATTTCCAAATTTATTAGTTCCTGTGGGATGTCCTATACAGTGTTTACCAAACTATACGGGACTCTTGTAGAGCCCACACTATTTTTACTACTCTGCCATATGGGGGACAGACGAAACAGAAACCTGTAAACAATATCCAAAACAGAGTCATGGGGATTTATTTAGGTGTATCTAGAAATACTTCTAACGCGGGAAAATCGGGGCAAGGTAAAGTTGGACAGTTATTCGTTATTCAAAATTTAACAGAAAAATGCTGTGAAACAGATGTAGGTGCACGGGTTTTGAAAGGTTTTACGTACAGGGGGTGCCAATGACAGCATTCACACCGAGTTTCATTAACATTGAAATAGGAACTCACCCCGAGCCAGGACCAGGAACATGGAATTTGAACAAAATCTCAATTTTGACAATTTTCAGGTATGGGGTCCCAGGGGCTCTCGAAACCGTACCGGTGCACGGGTTTTGAAAGGTTGCACGCACAGGGGGTGCCAGTGACAGGATTCACACCGAGTTTCATTAACATTGAAAGAGGAACTCACCCCGAGCAAGGACCAGGAACATGGAATTTGAACAAAATCTCAATTTTGACAATTTTCAGGTATTGGGTCCCAGTGGGTCTAGAAACCGTTAAGTCGTATCAATTGTCTGTACGTGGAATGATAGGAAAGGTCTGGTTTTGTCAATCTGGTTTTCATGGTAGATCCATTACATACAGACAGGACAGCTTTCATGTTGACTACACTTACTATAGTTAGGCAGGGACGTATAATGGAGGGACTTTATGGTTTCTGCGAAGTAGGGACTACCTTCGCAGGCGACAAAGCGTAAAGACGAAATGTCATATATAAGCCATCATAGAATCCCGTGTCTGAGAATAGTTTATTGTTAACAGTCGAACGTAAGGCCATAACTATTAATACAAGCGTTTTACGATAAAGACTCCACAAAATTCTTATTTCGCGTTATGCTGTATGTAACACACTATCGTACAAAACTCACATCCCGATTTCGTTTTCCTGCAGCTTGAAATGGTAAAATTACACATAATTTTCGAATAGCATGTCTTACACGGGTATTGTGCTCCTTACTTTGTGCTGCAGTCTTCCTGCATTTAAAACAAATAAGATTGACTTTGACGATGAATTTTCCCGCATGTTCGGTAATATATTGGCGATATTAACATTCCTTTTTTTCTTGTCCGT